GAATTTTTGATATCTTCTGCACAAAATCATCAAACTGATAACATTGCATGAAATTCAGTACTTCCCATGTGCAAGGTACACTACATTTGCTGAGGTGCTTTTTAGGTAATTACCTACTGGGCATGATTTTCGTCATCGTTGCTTTTTGCCATCTTGCCAGCTGCAGACGGAAGCGCTCGGTTGAGAACGCCATTCGAAATGAGCGCCTCTTTCGGTTCAAAGTATTTGTAAAATATTGTGCGAATCACGGAATCTGTAATGATTTATTGTATGCATTAGAGGTCAAACAAGAGTGATAGATTGAAACATGACATGAAATTTCGAACGCACAGAATGTTCCACAGAGGTTCGGTGAAAAATCATAGAACTCAGAATGATAATGAATTCAAAAATTCCTCTCTTTCAGTAAATTGGGACTGTCAGAAGCAATTGTTGCATCACGTCATAGTGAACTCATAGAAGCTTCAAATAATACTGTTCTCACTAACCGTCATTGCATGCAATACCGAAGTCTTCTAACAGAAAGTTGATATTCGTGTCAGCAGCACCCTCGCCACCTTCAGCCATTAAAACAATGACGTTGCCACCATTTTTCAGATATGCATGAATTAAGTCAAACTGCAAAATGAATTTATGAAGGAATTCCTGTGCTCTGTACATTCACCATTCATGGAGCTGTGCTAAAATAGCGGATAACTGGTGCATGTTCATATGGCAATCCGGTTCAAATTCAGCATCTGAGTCTATCCTGAATAATATCAGTCATCATTGCAGAGCTTTGTTGATAGTAGTTGATCAACACTTTTGAGTTGCAGTCATTGTGAACAGTGAAGAACTACATCGCAGCTGTTATCCGCGATCATCAATTCCATTGACTGCATTCAGTGCATGCTTGATAGCTGGGAACAACGTTGCTAAATACCTCTTCTTGTGTGAATTTGGCTCGTGGATGGGGAATGATGAAGACTCGGCACTCGTTAAATGTTTCGCTGTTTATTTCCTCCGTATTCCTGAATAACATATCGGTGAACAGCCTACTTGCACCAGACAACGGAAGAAGGTGTTTCGAAAACAATTCGAAATCACTTAATTCATTGATTGAGATCGAAATGTTAGTGCATAGTTTTTCATTTGCTCTTGCTAAAAACGGAATTTTTCTCAGAAACTGTGCGCATTTGACATATGGAAAAGAAAACGTACACTTCAACGCGCCATGTATTTTTGAGCCTTCGATGAAGCTGTCGAAATCCAGAATGCAAGTTGAAAGTCTCTTTTTTCGATTGATCAAACAGAATTGTGGATCCATGTTTTGTGACAGTTGATGATGCCTGAAGCATGTTCAAGGCAAGATTAGGTCAGGTGAACAAAAACAAATAGCCGATAACAACTAATGAATTGTTATCATCGCTTTGCACTGCCAACGAGAGAAAATGTTGTGAATACTGTTAATCTCCTGATCAATAAATGAATAAGCACATCAATATGCTTGGGATTGTCATTCATGAAATATTACTGCTAGTGATGATTTTTTTCTTCATTATTGCCATTAGTATTAATTACTAGAATTAGTATCGATCAAATACCTAACCTCATTGATTCCTGCTGAAACAACGTTGGTGAGTTGATTAAATCGCGGCGCTCCAACGTTCAATGAAATTGGACCCATTTAGTTTTCAAAAGCGTACAAGTCACTTCACATAAACGAGTTTGTGATCAGCTAAAACTGACTGCAAGTTTAGCGTCGATTTGAGACATCAGTATAACTGGATGTTAAGCTTAAGCATTATAGTGCAACACCGTTAGAGTCAGTCATCGTCAACGAATTGTTGCGCTCCTCTGTGCTGTATTGATTGTTCTGAAAAAAAAAAACCTAATTATCCTCGTAAATGCACTCAAAATCGCATTGTATAACGATAATCATGCCCAGAAAAACTGAACGCTTTGTGCCACTAATCAATTTCTGTAGAATAACATGCACTATAAGGAATGAGAAAAATCAATTTACCATAAGAAAGAAGCGAAAAAAAACAATTTACCATAAGAAAATCTCATCGATGAATGCAAAAAATCAATCCGCGAAAATGAAGCAGTGAAGTATCATTGAAAGATTGTTGAAGATAGTTGGGAGATCGGTTTCGCTGAGCTCTATCGCTTGTAATAGTCGGCTTTTTCAATTTATATCTGCTGCAGCAAGCAATTGTCGAAGAGTCGCTTTAAATAGCGAGCGATGTGACTGGTTTCCTATGGCAACCAGCGTTGCATGCTATAATATCTATGAGCTAAGTAATCGCTGCAAATACTCAGTATTTGCGCACACACAAGCGTCAGAGTGACCTTTAATGCTCGAATAGAACCTGTCAACCTACTCCATTCAATATTAGCTCGTTCTACAGTGCCAGACGCTTATATCCATAAACTTTTCACCTGACTCAACTGGAAATTCAGAAGGATGATGCTGGTGATGAGACGGATTTGAATCCATATGAGATGAGTTGCATTCTTGGACATCAATAGGTTTTTCAAGCAGCCACGATTTTAAGAGCAAGAACAACCTTAAAATCGCGGAGTTTCGCTTGCAGCATCCTCTTGAACCGTTTTCATTCGTTCAAGATCGCTATTAACTGATTCGAAGTTGTGCATCCTAATGCCATCCTCTTAATGACCTCGGAAATCTCGTTTTATTTGCAAGTCTCAATATGTGGCTGGCACAAATTGATGGCAATTAGTATTTTTTATGAATAAGTTTTTCGAAGTGCGCACAATCCAGTCAATCTGACAATGCCGTACGTGCTCTTTATTCATCGTTAATGTACTAATGTAATCGACACATGTACTCTGAAAAAATCCTTCACGAAAGGGTTCGTCAACCGAACTGTTCTGATCATATGTAAGCTGAAGAAAAGTCTGTTGATCAAGATTTTATTTTCATTCGTGAATTCTTCAACCATTTGCTTTATAAGGAACGTTGAAAGCCAGATTCGAGTGAGTGTGTTTTCCGAATTTGTTCGGTATTTGATGATAATTGGTTCAGCCCAACTATCTCAAGCTTTCACTCAGTTCACGTTGATCATATGTAGATGCAAATGAATTTTCAGTTTTTTTAATGGTTTATTCATCGCAGTTTAAGCTATGGCATTCGTTTTCAACGTCTTCAAAATGTTTTTGTTTAATTGCGAAAGGGTCAACCACCTAAGAAACCAGTATCACTTGATCAGTGCTTCAGACAATGCCACAGCAAAAGTAATGATTACGATGCATTCGAATACAATTTGGATCGAAACTGATTTATTAGCATAAGCTTGCTGGCAATTATCACCAATGCATTTCGATTCATTGAGCACGAAACAATTATGGTTGATTTGATCGCTTTGATCCGTCTCGGATCAAAGCGATCACTTCTTCCAAAGGATCCTAGAGCACAAGCTCGACTAGCAGCAAACACGACCAAATTATTCAGTCCACTTGACGCAACGACAGCAGTTTCCAATTGAACTCGACTGTTTCAGGGAGCCCAACATTTCCCTGAGAATCCGCTGTCGGTCTTTTTCGACCGGTCACTGTACGTTTCGAACACCTGAATCATGCAAAATTGTTAGGAACTGAAGTTGATTGCTGCAACTGCTTAGGCATCTTTAATATCAACTAAAAATTAATGATTCCTCTAGGCTCAATCAAAGGCAATCAATTATTAGGGATTGATTTACGAGCTCACATCAACACCGCACATCGCCCGGTGACCGAAACGACCATCGATATACCAGCGCTGTAAAACTTATTCAATCAGTTATGATTTGTTGGTTTGACTGAACACTGCGCAAAGCAGAGTTCGAAACGTATTGAGTGTAGAAGTGTTTTCAGCGCATATGCAATGATAGCTGAAAATTTAGTTATTCAAATATTTCTGAGGATATCGTATCCCCCTGGCGAACCCCTCCATTCATATGGAATGAAACAAGCGAGGGATTCGCTAGGGGAATATCGTAAGAAGGTCACCACCGCCATATCACAATGATTGACGCATGTTTTGTTGTCGTTGAAACGTGCCTCCTAAGGCTTGTTCATGCTAAATGTTTGAAGGCAAAGGTAATACCAACAAATTTACCGACCTTCAAACCAGTGCAGCGTCCATAGATGAATGGATTGATAACGCTATTGAGTACAACAAGGCAGTTCAAGAAGTAAATCACATCCTCTAGTGAGCGATACGACTCAGTGCTAATCATCAACCACCTGAAATATGGCTCATGCATTTCGGTTAACAACGTGGTGCTAGCAATAGTGAACATTATGATAACGACTCGAAAATGAACCATGAGAGGAAGTTGTATGGAAGCCATGTGATGACATAGGTCAATATGAGTAGCAGTGTTATCCTTAGCGATTTCACCTTTGCCCTGCGCAGTCGCTCTTGACCACGCAATGCTCTCACATGCACGGGCGCTGAAAAGTGGATGTGCTTAATGCAAAAATACATCCATCGCTTCGTTTTCAGCACATGAAATCATTTGAAAACGACTTGTAATACAAGCCGTCCTAGAGTCTCATCCTTCCTTTCATTTAGAACCGGTCTGTTTTGAACTTGGCTAGCATTCTCTGAACTGAGGAAGGCGAATACAAATCAGAACACAGAATTCATCATCGTTTCACGTATCATTTCAGACGTGCCGTTTTGACACTCGATAACAACTTATCTAGACGTGTAACTGTACCCAGCGAAGACTTCGTTCGTTTGCTCCTCTTCACACCAGTTTTCATCGAGGTGAGGTGTGACCCTTCCGCTAAATATATAGCGCTCGGTGTGTCAACATTCGCATTCAACGTTTCGTAGATATCATGTAGTATGAGCACATAGCAAACGATCAGTATAACAAGCGGTATATAGAAGATCGCTAGCAAATGAAAAGCGTTATACAATTTCATCATTAATTCGTCATCATCAGTTGATGTTCCTGTGATAAGTTTCTCCGTCCACACGCTAAGGCACTGTGTCACTGATTTGAGAGTTACCTGAAGTAATGAAACCAGATAATATGGCGATAATGTTTGCTAGAATACATTCAGTTAGTGAGGATGCTTAGTGCGAAGTTTTTCACTCAGAGCCACTCGAGAAAAATANCATGATGAACTCACATTCCGCATTTGTGAGTGTCGCAATGAAGCGAACGCTAACCTGTTTCCAAACGAAGAGTTGCGGTAAGCTGATAAGTGCTGATAGTATCCATGCAATGAGCAGCATTCGCGGAATGCGCTGTCGTCCTACAGTATTGACGAGTACCGGGCAACGCAATGCATACAAACGATACACGGCTATGCACACCATCACGTTGGAACTGAAATTTTTGCTTGTTACACTTGAAATGCTCATTAAGAAAGATTATTCGACACGTTAAAAGCTCCTAATTATGTGCTAATTGCTAAGCGCCGATCTGCAAACATCGACGCGTCAATGCACGGATTTTTTGCTCAGTGAGCTCATATTGCACTTATCTGACCGCTAGCTGAAAGTACAAAATTCGAGGATATCATGGCAGCTCACTTAGTCGAGAAGACGAACTCGTCCATAAAACGCATCAAAACACAAAGAAATGATCCGCCAAGCCACTCGTACGTGATCATCCAGCTGATATAACCTGTACAAAAGAAAACGAGAACCTGCAAANTCGAAACAAAAACAAACATCAGAGTTTCAAACCTCCAATCAATGCAAACTCTTTGTGAAGTGATGGATGTCTTGAAATAAGTGCACTGGAATAAGCAAACTGCTATCACCCAAATGTAACTTCTGTATGCGGAAGTTGACATCACTCACTAATGTTAAAAACAAGAAAGCCAAATTGAAATTTTATTATCGTTCTTCTTACAACTGATTTATCAATTTATTATTAGGTGGTCAAATTAAAAGAAACATGTCAGCACAAACTGCGGTACTATACTGAAAAGCAAGTAAATGATCTGGAAATTCAATGGAAAGTAAAATTTACGAGGATTAAAAAAAATCGAGAACTTTCATTTAGGTTTTCAACTATCTATTGTATGAGATCACAGTGTCTAGACAAGCTAACAAAATGAATGCTTATCTTATCAATCAAATGCGTCATTTATTGGTCAGTTTAGCATCACCATGCTTAATTTGTGATAAACTTCTGATCTCACCAACTACTGAAAGCATCCACTCTTGCTCAACTTCGAATTGAGAGTGCAGTGATGCAATAATTTGATGAGAAATCTATTTAATCAGAGATCTGGCATTACGTATGCTAGCCACGCTACACCAAAATTAAAGCTGTGCCCGATACCCGATAAAATGCCTCTTGTGTCATTAGGGAAACTTGATATTAGTATGCGTATCAACTGTTTCGCTAATAGGAGAAGATGCCTGCCTTCTTGTGCTCAGTGAAATGCATCTCAGCTGGAATACTAATCAGATTTGCTCGATCTCAAGAAATGAAAAAGGATGAAAATTATTCGCGGAAAGGAAGGAAGCCACATGTATAAGCTGCATTGCGAAGTGGATCAACATGATTTTTCTGTTGAATAAAGATTGTGCTCCATACATAATCAATGCAAAAATCGCAAGTGTTTATGCCTCATTTTCAGTGCTGAAATGTGGCGCTACTAAACTGACTCAGCGTGACTGTTTGTAAAAAAATCAGTCCATCAGTGGAGATTCTCTGCATCAAACTGGCCAGAATCTTAGATAATTTTGACGGTGGGTTTGGCACGTGGTTGTTGGCCGGCCGTGTTTGGTTGTTTTATTCATCGAATCACTTGAACAATTAATTCATTAGACAGTCGTCAAATCGTGAGAAACTTATCAATAGAAGCAACTCTCAGTTGCTAAATTTTATTGTTCAACATAAAACTGCTTACCAAAATGTTCGACACATTAAGATTAATGTGTAAGAGCAGTAGGAGGCTCTTCGCGTGTTTATATCGTCTCAACATATACACCAGCGTCGTTAGATTGATCGGTAGACCGAATATTATGAATACTGTATAGAGTAACAATTGAATATAGTCTCCCGAAACGCGAGTCAAGGTACGGCCTGAAACTAACACGTGACATAATCTCATCCACTCGCTTTTCTGGCAGCATCCACTCAATCATCAGCAGTTGTTCAGCCGTACAATTGAGGCCAGTGAATCCCCAAGTGTTTGTTGAAAATTATGATTTTCTCTCACCACATGCGATTGTCATCACAATTCCCCTCCTGCCAAACTTATGAAATTCCTTGTGGCAAAAAACTGTCAATGATCTTGACTTGGCAAGCCATAGTTATTTGTTCATTATCTCAAAGATTATCTTACGCTTCTAAAATTGCAAGTTCGTGATCAGCTGGAAAGTTTCCTGATACTCAACATCCATTGCAACTCATTTTATGATCTTTTGCTTCATTAAAAAAGAAAATATCGGCTTAATAACGGCTTAATGCAGCGGAAGTTGTTGATGTGACGGATACTTCTGAGAGGAAATTCTTTCGGCTTAGTTCAACTCATATCCGTCTATTTTAGAAATAATATCCTCTTTATCCGTCGCATTAAGTGATTGTGGAAAAAGGACTGCGTTTGATGGTGTAAGTGCGCTTAGATGAAGAGAGAGCAAGAACTGCGCAGATTAAAAGATACTTGCAAACACATTTAATTTGATTCGCTATCCACTTCGTCACAATTCTCTTAGAAAACATTGAAACATAAAAAAGTGCTGAAATGGAGCCGTTTGACAATTCTTATATTGCAATTATTTTGACATGGTGTGAACAAAACTGTTGACGAATGTGGTTTAATTCCATTCAATCGCCTGTCACATTTCGCAGCGAGCAGTTGCAATCAAACAGTCGGTGAAGCTTTTACGAAGAGCACTGACGAACAAAAACAAAGGAATCGAAATGAAAGAGTCACCATCGAACGACGAACCAAGCTCCACAATTTCACTGGCAGTTGTCGGACCGATGCTGTGGTTATCAAGAGCGTTCAGCTCCATGAAGCAGGCCAGTGTTCTGAAAGGTTATTTTGGTCGTTGACTGAAACGATGAAGTGAAATGAATGTGCAGCGTATGTTCATTAGTGGAATAACATCACAGAACATAGTATTTGGATAATCGAATGATCGAAACGAGCCATCAAAACGTCGAATAATGATGAACGCAAACTCTAAGCATTCTACGCTTAGCATGAATGAAAATTAACAAAAAATTCTTTAGCAGGATGCTTCGTAAAAATTTAGCATGAAAAATTAAAAAAGTTAATTGGACAGCATTTGAGCTACCCAATCACATTCTTGATCAACGAAGTGGAATTAATCCGAAACAGTTCTGATACCGCTTCCAAAGAACAGACGAACTATCAGTACTTGAAACGTTGAGTAATATCAGATGCTTTTGGGATCAACTGAAGGCGAATTCAGCCGATTGAAATGTATGAATCGCATCATACGGGACACCGGAAATGCCGAGTCTACACGAGTCTTTTGTTGCGAGTTTTCTTGACTCGTTTCATGCAAACTAAACACTGAAAATCATTTTTCTCGTTCCCCAGCGCAACCTGAGATGCTGACGAAATTTCATTGCTCAATATTGCGTGCTCAAAATGAAAGCAATTTTTGTTTGTCTCCTTCATAAGGACTAAAGAATATGCGTTCGCGTTCAATCTCACGTGAAAATGCCCTCACTAAACAAAGAACAATTTAGTTTCGAAATTGCGACGCTAATTGGCGTTTTCTGATATTTGGGGACTAAACGAGATATAAGTGGCACCCACTAGGAGGTAATTTATCTTCTCATAGGCTATGATTATTCTTACCTATATGATTATGCCTATATGATGCGAATATGAGTATGGCATCGTCACCTGTAACAATTTTTTGCTAAAGGACTCAACGATAATCAGTTTAGTGTAATGTTGCGACTAATTACCGTTACGATGACGAATTTGGATGGAAACTTGCGTTGGCTTAAGAGCACTACTACCTCGTTCATTTGGTTCACATGAACATCAGTCAGAGCCATGGAATGAGTGTGAACGTTAGCGATTGAAGAGAAGATGAAGATTATTGAGAGATATCAAAAGAGCACGGATTTCAGTGATGCAGTGAGGTGGAAGTTAGTGCAGGCAATTAAATTCGAAGTTGAGCTGACCGCTGATCGCTAGGGATTCTGGCTGATTCTAAGGGCATTTTTTAGGAATAGTGCAGCGCTTGATGAGTAGTGCATCCAGTCATCAGCGTTTGAATGCATTGCGGTTTAAATGACTCTTGTCGAGTGCATTCACAGGAAAACGAGCTCGGATGTGTGACATTTCAGCTGCCCTAGATTCCATTCGAAACGATTCACGTTTCCCAAGAACACCTTTGCATAAAGCGGTCGGAACATTGAATCACCAGCGTGCCAGACCAAAGCGTACTGTAGTTGAGGAGAAATTTCGCTTTATCGTATGCTAGCATTTATTGAAAGCACATGATATTAAAATGCTGATATATTGACATGTATGGAATCATATGTGGTGAGACCATATTGACAAATTAATACCGGCATTGATATATTAATAGTGACATTGACATATGGCATCATACTGACACCATGTACATGACTTACGTAAGATTGACTGATGACATGTTGACATCGTTTGTTGACGTTAGATTATTCTAGCATTTGTTAGTGCTGAGCGTCGCACTCTATTACTATCCCGATTGAAAAGTATCACTCACGGGTGATCACAGCACAGATTTGCAGCACGACAAAGGTCAATGGAAACGTAACGCTAGCAGCACAGCATGAAAAGCAAATATTCTCAACTCAGCGTAAATTCTTCTCGTTTTGGTAATCGTGGCGATTCCAATAATGTTTAGGAGAAGGTACATGAACGGTCTGGTATAAGTGAAGGATTCAAAAGATTTGGCATAAGCGAAGGATGCAAAATAAACTGTTGCAACCTCAGAAACGGTTGCAAACTTTAACCATTACCTCTTCAGGTCAACATAATCTTCTTATCGGCGAATGGGACAAACCAGCCAAAAAGAGATGGGGGATTTCTAGCTGTGCAATGTGGTCGACGCTTCATCATGAATGTTTCGGCTTTCATCAAGCTGTTCTCATATATGCTCAAATTCGAAAAAAAAAA